AAAAAAAAAACAAACTTTGTTGGAATGGTGCACAAGACATGAGCTGTTCTAAGTGTTAACCAATTATAAACAGCATGTGTATTTTAAGTAACTTCTGCATTGTTGGAATAAACATTTATTTTTAAAAAAAGATAAAAAGTGAGAATAAATCTCTGAAATAGTTGATTTGTTAAAAACCAAAGCTTCATACTGATACGATTATTTCACTTAACCTTTGCAAAACCAGGTTCTTCAGTAAGTGTATTTATTTAATACTGGCTTCCTAGTGCTTACCACTTAGGGACTTTTTTTTTTCCTTCTGGTATTAATGTAAATAGACCAAAACCAGTTCTTAATTTTTAAGTTAGTAAACAGGATACTAATCGGGGCTGGCAGGTTTTTAGATTAGTCACCTAATTTGAAGAGTGAAGTAGCCACTGTAATTTTACTGAGTTGAGTTGGGGCCTAACACCTCAAAGCCATCTCAGAGTGAAAGCAAATGCCAAGAGTTGTTCTGTTAACTTCAAGATAATCATTTGATGCTGATCAAAATTATCTTCTTCCCACTCCTTCGTATTACACTGTGGTGAAGAAGGGTGTGTTCTGGTAGATGCTGAGCTGAGATCCTTCCATCTGGCAAAACTGCTTCCTCATCTGTCCTCCATATGCAACTGTTAGGTAGAACTGTGGTAGCAACGTTGTTGGAAGTGCATTTCTTCTCCTGTGCAGTGTCAAGAAAGATGTTAGCAGTTGAAACGTAGCTTTGTTCTGAGAAAGGTAGGGATGCAAAGTGCAACGTGAAGGTAACAGGCTAAGTCCTCATAGAGGCAAGAGGAACAAATGAAAAATAAGCATAGAAATCCTTCTCCCCTTGTGTGTACGTAACACTTTTCGGGAAGTAGAGAAATCAAGTTGAATGGAAAATGTTTAATGTCACAGTGGAAACTGTGTTTTATGCTTCCAGCTCCTACTGGTATTAACTCTTCATCAAGAAGCAAAGATGCATTAAAACATTCTTGAAACCAGATTCTCTTTTGCATCTTCGCATTTCTGCCCCCCATTGGTTATGTAGTTCCCAGTAATTAACTCAGTGGTTTAGTAATTAAGCAATGCAGGATAACTGTAGGGTAAATGTTTCATTGCACAAGGCCTCAGTCCTGTAGAACGTTCTAAAATGGGAAAAACACTCAAAGATTAAAATATACCAGTTTTATTTTCCAGTGGGAGCTTAATTTATATGCAGATGAATATGCAAAATTGGCTGTCTTCACCGCTCCCATGTACTGTATGAGCGTGGTTGGTTCGCTCAGCTCTGTGACTTGATGTACATTAGATAATAGCGCAATGCAACGTGAGCACGTCTTGAGAGTGAAGCAGTTGGTGTTGAGGGCCCAGTGTCCCCATTATACACATCTAGAAGTTTTTACTTTGAATTAGCTTTATTCTGATCTGCTTTAGGGAAAGCCTGGTAACAGCTGGCACGAGGTAGGTGTGCTCTGGAAGAGCATCTTCAAGTTTGGTTTCATTGGAAAGGAATCAGGTGAGCGTACTCGGAGACTCAGTGATGCAAACCACAATGTCGTAACTGAGGCCACCTGGGAGGTTTATTTGAAAAACGTTTCACTGATCCAAATGGAAACGCTTATGTGGATGTGCATGCACGTGTGTGCGCTCCAGCCATATGACCTCTGGAATTCCATTGTTGTTGCAATTTTGTAAGGCTTTCCTGTTAGTAGATTGATGCACTTTGAGTAGATTAGGATTGGGGTGGGGAAAACGGGGGGAGGGCTGATGTGCGTGTCTGCCTTTATGTAGCAACAAAGAGGGCAGGAATTTTGTCTAACAACTTTTACAAGGATGTGTTTGTGGCAGTACAGTTACTTGACAGCAGATGCAGGTTTTTCTCTTGTGATTGAAGTGATTTGTTTCCAGTATGTGGCGATATGTCTAAACTATTGTACCCTGTCCCTTTTAATTAGACTTAACATAGGTTTCAGGCCAAATTAGTAACCAGAACCATATGGCTTCTGCTTCTGAGCTGACCAGTTTTGAGTAGACTCAGTGTTAGCAGCACACAGAACACCATTAACTATTTCTATTAAAGAACAAATCTCGCATTTATCAAACTGTCCTGTTTCTTCAAGTTAAATTGTCAAGTTTCACTTGGATGTTTGACCCATCGTCTTGTTCTGCCCTGTAGGCCTCCTTTTGAGAGTTGGGGAAGAAAAAAGATTTTGCGGTTTCTCAGAGGTCTGATGGAAGGAAAGCTTCAGTGACATTTTTCCCCCCTGCTCATTGTGTTGTCTGCCGCTGATACTCTTCAGCCTTGTCTGACTAACAACTTGTAGTTGTCTACCTATGTGCATGCATAAAGATTTTTGTATACTGCATTAAATGCCATAGCAGCTCACGATTAAGTGGTCCATGGCACCCAGAGGTGATTTATTGGCACTAATCTGCTACTGTGATCCAAATAAGAGAGATTCGGTTCACCTTTTGAAGACAGAATAAATGACTTGGTCCTGGTTTGCTCCTGTTTTTTAACTGCAGTTGGAGACTGCTATCTTATCCGGAGTCCAAATTAACTTCTTTTGTGTTATATACACATGGCTCAGCCTGTTCTGAACTGATATTCCATCTTCCTGTTTTGAAGTGTAATTTCTTTTTCTTTGCTCTGAATGGATGTTCATTCCTTTCCTTTTTCGAAAGAAACAGTCCATGATGAACAGTGCTGTGCTGTATAACATACTTGTTACCTTTTTCCTGTTCAAAGTGGGACATGCAGGACAGAGTACTACTCTTCATGATTATGACTACCGAGTGGTAAATAATCATATGTTTTGGTTTATTGGGTTTTTTTGGAACTTGTAGTTTTGATGAGCATCTGGCATACAGCCTTATCAGGATATCTGTTAAAAATGGTTTTGGGTTTTCTTTTGCCATTGTCTGCTACCTTGGAAAGTGTTCTTGCCTGCAAATAGCTGCTGTCTTTCTTGTTTTTCTAGTATTTTCAGTATGACTCATGTCCCTGGCTCTTATTTTCTCCTATTCTTGTATCTATGAATGGCAGGCAGTGCTGCATCAGTGTGTGCAGAGTGCCAGCTCTCAAACTTCAGCATTCAGGCTTTTGGGGATGGGAGGTTAAGCATGACCCATAGTTTATGCCATTTGGAGATGATCTTATAAAACTGACAGCCCTGTGCATTTTGTAAAATCCCTGGCATTAGTTCTGGTTTGGCATCTGAGTTCACCCCCCCAGAACCACGTGCAGAGTCCCACAGGACAATATTGGTCTATACCCTCACTGGGATATTTGCACTCTTTCAGACATCAATCTGTGTATAAACAGCTGTCAGTTCTATACATACGAAAGAAGGAAACTCTTCTGCTATTCAGCAGAAGCTCTTACAGCTGATTAATATTGCAGGACTTATTTGCCTTCAGAACACAGAATTCAAAGGAATGATGTACTTCCACTTGCATCTATTCTAAGTTAATCTTGAGAGGAGGAATTCTTCAAGAAATGTCTGCATTATTTGAATAATCACAAGGTTGTCTTGTCTGTAAGAGGAAGTCAGTTTCTTAAATCACTGCTGCTTAAATATCAGTGTTGCTTCTTCAGGGAAGCTTGTTATCACAAGCATTTGAGTTGCCTTAAAACCAAACAAACAAACAAAAAAACCCACCAAAACCAAACAAACCCCTTTGTTTTTGTGATCAAGCCCTTCTGAAAAGTCTTTGTTCACTAGCATTCATTTAGTCTTTGATACTATTCCTGGCTTCAGTTCTGTCACAGGGTAATCTAAAGCAAGTCTACACGGTGCTTACTGATGGATCAGCATTGGTGCAGTTTCTTTGCAATTGTTCTGGAAGGTCATCCTCGTTTTGTGTTGCAAGGGAAAATGTGAAGGTTGCTTTAAGAGGTGGTTGTAAAGGAGGGATGCATTTGCCATGTCCATGTGAGTTATAAGAGTCTCTGCATAATGTGTCAGAATTGATTAGAACGTATTTCTTTGGAAAGCAGTGTTGGATTTTTGCAGGTGTGTTTGGTGGTTGAGCTGTGTGCAATCAGTGCGAGACAGGATACTGGACCAGACGGCAGGGATGCTGGGGAGCAGTGTCTGCTGTCTAATGAAGTATTACTGGGAAGGCATGGAATCACAGGCGAGATTACTTTGACCTAAAAGTGGAAGATATTACAAGGGGTAGTGGCTAAAACTAACCTTGCATAGGTATTTGAGGTTTTAAATAATTACCGTTTTCAGTTACAAGAGAGCTGCTAAATGAAGACGTCCTCATTTCTCAGAACAGGCGTTTATTGGTGGCATTACTTGATTTCTTACATAAAATGAGGATTTTTTTCTGTATTGCATTGGTAGTGTCCCAGCAAGCTGTAAAGTGCCTTGTCACAAAACGCTTTGGGATGCCCTAGCTTTTGATTTAGTAGGGGATTAAGGAAAATCAAGGAAGAAAAGCCCATTTTTGACTTTGTTAAGTAAAAGGGATGCCGCCTTTGACTCGGGAAGTCTCTGAGCCCTGAGTATTTAGAAGGAATTGTCTTTATCTGTTTGCTCTGTTGAACTCTTTCCTACGCATCAGCTGTTGCTCTCTGCTGAAGAAAACGCACTAATGCTGTGTGGACCTTTTGATTATGCTGGCACAGCTGTTTGTATACTTTGTTCTTATTCCATATCGAAGCACTGAACTTGATCTCTCTCATCTGTGCTTCCTTGCTGTATGCATGTGTATGCAACAGAGGTGCTAAATTTCGATAAGCCAAGGCTGCAGACGCTCCTGGCGCGTGGTCAGCGAGGGCCCGTCCCAACTGCTGCCCCACTGAGTAAGACGAGCTTGAATGCCAGCGGGGCTCTGCTCCCCCTGCTCCCCTCCCGCCTGACAAGGGCTGCCTTTGGTTCGGCATAGAGCATAAGGCCTGAAGGAAAAGAAACACACAGGCGGGGCACAGGCAGAGGCTTTACGTACCAGGGGAGCAGGTATGGCGTGCTCTTCCCTTGAACTTCATGAAAATGGGAGTCCTGCAGCAGCAGAGCTTGCCTTGGTCTGTGCCCTGGAGTTTCTGCATCGAGATAAGAGAAAGGCATAAATCTAGGATCCTGTTGTGTGGGTTGCATCTCCCCGCTGGGTGTGCTGAGCCCAGCACTGCTGTTGCAGAGATCTGAAAACCTCCTGTGTAGCTCCCAGACAGGAAATTCAGGAATATTAGTATATTAGTATCCTTTAAGCATGGGCAGAATACTATTTGGGACTATGACTGAGGTTTGGAATTACTAACAAAGAATATCCTATGTTAATAGGACTTCTGGCAGCTGTAATGCAGTATGCTGCTGTCAGAATTGTAGTAGTAAAGCTACCATGCAAGGTTAAGAAGAATTATGCATCAGCTGAAACTGAGGGTAAATATATGCTGTACTCTCATGCTGGTTGCTTGATAGAGTATGTTACTTCATTGAATTATCCTGTATAGCAGGATATGGCACCCAGAAACTTACACCCTCTCTTCCCAATCTTAACTATGCACTGAGATAATTCATGGAACTGTTGTAATTCAAGGAAAAAAAGTGAGTACCTAGAATATATTCAGTGGTTCTTTTCTGTCACAGACATTTGTGAAACATTGTATCTTTCATGATGAAAAAAGCGTCTTTGTCATTAAGCTCTCCTTCATTTGTTCATCGTAAACCCTGGGTCACATTCAGGGTAAGAATTTGCTACTCAGAAATGCATAGGAGAAAAGAGAGTTAACCTTGTAACTATTTTGGCAGCAGCAGCTAACTTGATTGATAGGACACCGTCTTCCTATTTGTGGACAGAGATGTCCTCGCAGAACTGTAGCAGCACGAACTTAAAACTGGTTTCTCAGTTAAACTTTTTTGAGGTTGGTGAGATGGTCAGAAAATTGGGCAAGTTAAAAATTGAAATTATCAAAACCCTTATTTTGGCATTCCTATGTGTGGCTATGGTGGCTACATGTGGCTGCTGAAGGACTTGATATGCCCATCACCTGAAAATGCATTATTTAAAAGAGCTGCCTTGGAAAGTAGGTAAAACCATTAAGACGATGGCCATTGTATCGTTGTTGCTGAATGGTACATGAGCACTGCTTTAAAAAAAAAAAAAAATTAAAAACTCCAACTAAGTTAAGTTTCTTATGACCACATCAAAGCTCATCGTAGGACAGAAAGAGGCTTTTCTCTTGTCTGGAAACTAAAATGATTTAGTGCTTGACAGGTCTTTTGGGCTCTGAGAACTTGTAGCTGAGATTTTCATTCTGCTAATGTTCTTTGAAGTTTTGTTAGTCAGGGCTTTCTCTTCTTGTAAGGAACGGAAGGATGCAGCACAGTAGAGTTTTAGCAGTAATACAGAAACTCTTGACTTATAAAATCTGCTTTCTAGCTTTTGACATGCCAAAACCTTGTTCCGCTTCATAGAATGGTATTCAATCCATAGCTGGTACTGCTAGGTTTGCTACATGTAGACCCTCTGTGAGCAGTACTTGAGCCAGTATCTGTTTTAAAAGTTGATACATTATATTTTTGACAGAAAATTATTTTTAATGCCCAACTTTTTTTAGTAACTTTTCCACGTGTAAAATGCTATATAAGTGTGTATGAAGAGGTACGTAGTTATACAGTTTACACAATATATGGCATGTTGGGAAATTGTGAAAATAGTTATGGTCTATTAGTCTGGAATATTATTATGCAATTAGATTGGTAAACTCAGATGCTTCCTCTAAGAGTTATGTTGTATTTCCCAAAAATTCAATAAAGTAAATTTTGATGCATTTTGATTTGCCTTAACACATTTTGAGCAGGAAGGGGGGAAAAAAAGGGCTTCTTAATTTATTAATATGGATTAAGGCATTTCATTTTGAGTGTTTTCTATTCCTCCAAGCATCAAAGTCTATATCAATTCTACATTTTGATTCAAAACTAGTTATATTTTCTACTGACATGGTGTTTGCTAATATGTTTTTTTTTCCTCCATGGCTGTCTGGTTTTGTCTATAGGAAGGTTGCAGACCTTTGAATAAATTTAAAAAGTAGAAAAACAGAAAAATTCTTGAAATACATACACATCATGTCTTTTGCCATTTGAGTGGGTCTGTGTGTCTTCAAAATCATCAGATGCTTCAAAGTCTTTCAGGTTTTCTGATACATATAATATGGAGAAGTTGTGTTGCTGGGAATACAGAAGGGGGACAAATGCAGCTCATTTTACTTGTTTGGCTACATTATTGCTACAGTAATTTTTGAAGTATATAGTGACTACTGGTAGATTTGCTTAAAAATAACTTTTATCTTTCAGTCTCCCACAAAAGCTGTATATAATGCTAGACACTGGAACCAGCCAGAATCAGAGGCTCTGCCAGCACCACCGGTTTTGAAAACTCCCAGTGTCCCAGTAAGTAGACTGTTTTTGTTTTTTTTCAAGTTTAGTAAACCTCCTTTTAAGATTCGCTGATATTTTTTGAAACACAAGTTCTTGGTATCTGGTAATGTCACAGTAATTCAGAATGAAGTCCACTTTGTGATGTGAGCCATTGGGTATTTGATAGGAAAGAAATTGTCAGTGAAAATACTCTAGAACAGCATCTTCCATATCATTTCAATATGCGGATACAAAAAAATACTTCAATCAAGCTATGTTCCCTAATCTGCTGAAGTTAAGCTTTCTAACAATGGACTCCATTTCGTCTTCTGTGAGAACCCCGAGGATTACCTTGCTAATACACATAGAAATCAGCAAGTTGCAGGTTCAAAAAGGAAAAACTTAAAAAGACATATTTCATTTATTTTTCCTTTCTAATGGAATATTGTGAATTGCTGACTTGAGTCTTTATACACTATGAAAGAAACAAAATTTTCTGTATGCAGCCAACAATGCTAATATGAACATACCAGATTGTAAGCATGTCTGCAAAAAGTAGACGAGGTGAAAACAGTTCTTAAAGCAACTTGTTTGTTCAAAAATCCGTGATTGTTCTGAGGCTTAAGGTAATTGGTTTTTAATTCTTTTGAGACCCTGCGAATCCAGGGTCGTGGGCTTACATATGTGTAACAGTTGTTACTGATTATGCTGAGAGAGCATTGCACATTGTCAGTAAACTTCATTTGGCGCCTTGCTTACAGTACTTGCCTGAGAACAGAAAACCTGAAAGTAGATATTTTTGCAGTGATAAGTCTTCAGCTTTTGTTGTCGTCACCAGTTTCAGTTTTGTTTTGTGTTTTTAATTCCACCTGTGTGTCTGCTGTTCTGATACTAGCTCCTCTTTGATTTGTGGTTGGGTTTGGTTGCATCCTCACAGTATTTTGAACAGCCTTCCTTTGATATTAACTGCACTGCCTGGAAAATGCAGATGACTCATTTTAAAATAACCATTACCACTGGTGTTTGAGGAGAGAGCAGAAATTTCAGTCCTGGTTTTCTACTAAACCCTGTTCTCAATTTAAATTAACGTGCATTTGAACGGAAGCTTTTGTTGCTTACTGAATCTTTGTGTTGATACTGATTTTTTGTGAAGTACTTTGATAGCTAACGTAAAGGCAGATTTGGTCTGAGTCTTCTCAGACAGACTTCGAATATATCCTCTTCAGGCTAGGAAAATGTCTGGGCTGTTCATATTCAGACAAGCCATTTTGTCTTCTGTCAAACTCCCACTTTGTAACCGGAACCATCAAAATATTAATTCAGGAATGTGGCAGAGGTTTGGCTGAACAGACCAGTTAGGGGAATTTGTATCTGTTCCTTGTGTTATGATGTACATCTGAAGTTACTTCAGTCACTTTTTTTACCTTGATTTACATGTGTATGATTAAGATTTAAGAGTTACAAGATAAATGAGCCTTGATCCAAATGTTCAGCGGTAATCCCTGCGCAGATGATCCTGCCTCTTTCATTTCTGTAGAAATTGGTTACCTGAAGATCTGGATAAATTTGTCTTAGATTTACAGTGAGAAACCCATAGCATGCAAACTGCCTATGCCAAGTACTCTTTCTTATGGCCTCTCCAAGCTCCCTTGGAATTTGCTTTGAAGGGGAAGCCATTAAACCAAGACTTGGATGAGACACTTCAGTGGATCTCCTGTGTTCGCAGACTGATAAGACCAGAGTCCTCCAGTATGTGCTCTAAACCAGCTTTTCAGGGCGGTTTATTAGCATTTTGCCACCGGAGCCTAAGTGGGCAAATAACTCAAGTGCTGCAAAGTGATAGAGGCAGCATGGAAAGAAATAGACAATAGAGCAGGTTGTTTTGGCTTATATTTTAACTTTGACTGTCAATGCACAGTGCACAAGAAGGCTTTCTCCCAAAACATCCTCTGGATTGAGTAACAGTTAATGCATTCTCTATGCCTGCATATTAATTCTACTTTTTTCAGGCACACTTTAAAAAAATTCTCATTTTTCTACATAAGGAAACTTAAGTACATGATGTTACTTAGATTGAGGGTGAGTAAATGACCACTGGTGTTGGCACTGCATATTTAGAATTTGGCATTTGGAGGTCTTTTTCCTGTATGCCTTGTTTTCTGTAGTTTGTCTTCACATCTGAATTTGTGCCAAAGTAGTAATCTGAAGATAAGCTGACACTTAGGCTCATAGTAGCCGTAAACTAATACAGAGGAGTAGGTTGAGGAGAAACCTGTAATACTTGCCTGAGTTGGCTGGAAACTTGTCAGTAGTTATTCTAGACCTAACATCAAGTTCTCTACTACCTGTTTTAAGTTCAGAATAGGTTTTGCTGTATTTTGTACTATAATATGTTGTTCCTAAAATATTAACACCACAAATATGAATAAGACCAGTGTACGGAGAATACCATGAATTCACAAGAGCATACTCTACCTGTTCGAGGCATGCCACGTGCCTCTCTCATTTCTCTGTGTGGCAGTTTTTTTATGGTGCTACAAGATTTATATTGGTAGTCTTCCACCTACAGGCAAAATACAGTTTGCAGTGTCAGGTTGGAGAGGTCAGCTTTCTGATAGCTACACCCTAAGTACAGTAGTGTCGTAGCCTTCAGTAGTTAGAGATGAGAACAGTAGGCACAGAGTTTCTCAGTGCTGGCTATGTTGAGACAGTGATTGCTCAATGCTGTGCTCGTATCCAGACCAGTGTACTTAATGATGGTTCAGTATAGCAACCAACTTAGTCCTGGAAGCTCCAGTGTAAGGGGGTAAGATACTTGCAAGTATCAACAACTAATTGTTTTTAAACGCTGAACTTGATTGGTTTACTTACCCTAAAGCTTAAGGAACCAGTGTAAAGGACTTTTTTTTTGTTTTCCTCTTTTTTTAATTTCAGAAGTCTACTGGAGCTTTCCTGACTACTTAGAACTGGTTTTTGTATTTAAAAACTCATATAATTTCTGACATCTTAAATTTTTTTTTAAGAGTAGGTACATTATCACACAGCTTAGGTACACCTTAGTAGTGTAAGGCAAGGACTAAATAGTCCCAAAATGTGAGTTTGACAATTGCACACCTGTACTGTTTCCTGATGTATTTAGTATATGTTTACATGCTCAAAACATCTGCCCATTTTAGCACTTTCTTATTAATAGGTAAGGCTATCTTCAAAGGAGGCAATTCATAAAGATGATGGAGTTTTTAAGGCTCCTGCACCACCTCCCAAAGTGATAAAAACTGTGACAATACCTACTCAGCCCTATCAAGAGATAGTAACTGCATTGAAATGTAGGAAAGAAGACAAAGAAGTAAGTATTCTTAACAAATTTTTAAGATAAAGAATTATTGGTAATCCTAAGTACTGAAGGAACAGTGTCAAAATGAAATTTGGCTTTCCTTTTAAAGATAATATTTTTATCTAAATAGTTGAATGCCCTTCATTAACTGCTTAATGTTTCCTTGCACTCAAAACTGAATAGATTTTAAAGTGTACTTGTTAAGGTTATAATCAATCCCAAGAGCAACTTACCTAGGTCAAAATATTTGTCTCTTCCAGTTATACACTGTTGTTCAGCATGTAAAGCACTTCAATGATGTAGTGGAATTTGGTGAAAATCAAGAGTTCACAGATGATATTGAGTACTTGCTAAGTGGATTGAAGAGCAATCAGCCCCTAAACACACGTTGCCTTAGGTAAGATATCTTAATATAAAACACTGAATTTACATTTAAAAGAGATACTGAACTAAATATTCATCAGTGAAGTGGCCATGCTTCAAAATGTTGTTTGGGTAGTTACCTGGCACTTCTGCTATAAAGAATAAAATTTGAAAGTAATCAAGATGATATATTGTGAATAGTCAATAGTAGTATGACTAGAAAGATGAAATAGGGAATTGTACATAAGAGACAACTTTAACACACTTGTTTTCCTTGCTATGAATTAAAAAAATAGTTTCTGATAACTTTTGTTTGTTTAGTGCAATCTTATGTGCGATGTCTGTTCTGGTCTTTTTTAATGCAAAATTCAATTCTAAAATAAAATCCCTAAGACTGGAAAGTTTGCTGGCTGTAATCTAGAGCTAATGTAATATTGAGATACTGTTTAACTCCAACTGCCTGTTCTCTATCTTCTGTTGAGAAACAACATAGCTAGCATCCACTGGAAGTATTGTGGCTTCCAGTATGGGAAGCTTCCCTAAGTTGTCTTGAACTGCTCATCGCACTCTTAATATTCAAGTTACACATTACTGCGAAGTTAGTATCAAAAAATTTCGTCTTGCTTTGAGAAAGTTTATGACTTAATATTGGTGTCCATTCCCTGGACATGAAAGTGGTTAGAATGATGTTCTGTAACCATGTAAGAATCTTTCCTCTCTGTTTAGCAAAACAAAAATGGTAGAGACGGAAAAACTTGAATCCACAGAGGCAGGTGATGAGGACACTTTGCTTGAGATTTGACTGTGGATGAGAAAAAGCTTTATACGCTTTTAAGAGAGCTATTTTAAAAATTTATTCTTCCTGTTCCTCAAAAACTAGCAATTAATATTGTTGCTGGAGTATAAACACAAGAAATTTATTATCCAGTTTTGTATGTACATTATGATAAGAATAAATTAATACCATAATGGCAGTTTAAGAGTGTTTTTCATATTGAGTGCACTTAATTTGCCTGTATGGCAAGCTTCCTAAGATCTTAAACTGATTTTTTTACTTTCCAAATTTATATCAGGGAATGTAACTTTTATAAACACCATAGAAATTTTTTCTTTCAGTTAACAAATTAAAAGAAAAGTATTTTTCCAAAGGAAATCAATGTGTAAGGATAGGAATAGATGTAAAAGAATCAGAAACTGGTAGGTAAGCTCTAACTGGTGCTGTTGTGATTGGAGACCTAAAGACTACTTGTTCTTTAAACGCCATACCGTATGAATCTTTCATAATAAGATTCCTCAGTAGTCATGGAAAACTTGATTGCAAAATCACTCCCACATTACTCCACATTTAAAAGCAATGTATTTTTGATAGCTTATATGTTGCACTGTGCTACAAAGGGCAGACAGCTTGCTAATAAAACTAGGTAAAGACTTCCATTTTTAAAATAGAACTGTTATGCTGATCACTGATTAGACCAATATATTTGTCAGATTTTTCCTGAAATCTATAGTGTTTCCATCAACCATAAATGCAGCAATAAATATAAAAAAATGTTTGTTTTTTTGTAAAAGTATTGGTCAGGCATAAGCGGGACTAATAGGTCAATTGGATAACTGTTAGATAGCAATGGAAGCTCACATTTATAATTCCTGATAATGCCTTGATCCATAATGAGCTCTCCTGTGCCTCTAAATTAGAGCTTTGCGCTTAATCCATGAACATTTTACTTTCAGTTTAACTATTTCAAATTATTTCAACTTTTGTTTGAAAGAAGCAAGTTCAGGGCACCCTTTCACATCCTGTTTTTAGCTATCCTTAAGATAAGGCAGACGTAGTTTGGTGCTGGTAAGCAACTGTTGAATAAAGTGGTGCTCTGTTCACCAATTACAAACTTGCCTTATACAAATTTTAGAAGAAATACCCCATCAGAGTTTGTCAGGGTCTGAGGTGTATGGTCAGTCACATTTTGTAGACTTGTTTATCTGCCATTTTTGTAAATGTGTTCATTTTAGTTGTTCTAATGCAGAATTGATTTTCTCTAGTGTAATCAGCTTGGCGACAAAGTGCGCCATGCCCAGCTTCCGAATGCATCTGAGAGCACATGGGATGGTAGCCATGGTTTTCAAAACACTGGATGATTCCCAACACCATCAGGTATGGATACACTGTGTATTTCATTAAAGGTTGATGATACCTGTCTACTTTGCATGAATTCTGTGTACACGTAATTCAAGGTCAAGCATCCAGTATAGTGTGCATCTGGGATCAAGTGGCTCCATTTCAGAAATCTGTAGTGAAGTGAAAAATAAGAGCACCTGCGTTCCAATGACAAATTCGCCTTTAACTGATTATGTACTTCTGGGTTTGGAAATTCTTGTAAAAATTCATTTAAGCTTTTTAAAAAAACTGGCTGTGCTTTGGATTGCTATTTTATATCTTCTCTTAGGGTTTGTTTTAATAGTTTTATTGTTGTATTTATAATTTCCTTCAAATAAAACACATTTGGAAGGAATCCTTTCTCCTTATCTTTAAAGATGGCTCTGAGTGCTCATCTCCAGACTTGCTTGCATGTGAATTACTGCCTTTTCTGCAGCTGTTGTGGAGCATTTTTCCTGTGCTTGTCTCCTTGAGCAGTGCTGTAATTGCAGTTGTAGGATGCCTCGAGTATGTGCGGTGTTCTGTGATAAATCTAGGAAAGGTAGATTTTAACTACTTATGGTAACATGACCCAGGAGTTAAAATCTGAAGCAGTTTGGGTTTTTCTTCTTATCAACTTTACAAGTTCAATTCAGCTGTGGTAGACGATGCTTCTTGCAGGTGATACTGTTTTTCCAGCAGTTGGAAACTGTGCCTCTGTGGGGCATCCCTTAAGGTATTGTTACCAAAGCCGAACATAGGAAACGTTACTTCAAGTGGGTAGCAGATATGTATATCCGGTCAGGTTTATTACTTTTATTGAACAGCTCTAGAATAACGATACACAATTCAGAAGGAAACTTTGCACCCACAGAAATAGACATTTAAGAGATTGTGTTTGACATCTTACTGTGGGTGGGGGGAAAAAGCTGTAGAGCTTTTAGTAACTGATTTAGAATAATAATAATAGCTTATTTTCTATGTCCCTCAAAAATTAGCAATGGCTAACGATAAAACATAGGAACCAAGTTCAATATATTCATTATTTTGTGAGCAGTCAAAATAGTGCCAAGTGATACTAGAAATAAATAAAGTGTAGTCACACTGTTTAGGACAGTTGCCACCACTGAGTTGCAGGAGGTCTGCAGAGGACAGCTACAGTTCCTTGGAAAATGTACAAGCTTGCTTGGTGTATTTTTGGCTGTCTCTTAAGTTACCATTATTCCTTCATTTTCAAAAGAACTAGCACATACAGTTCAAAAGGAAATTGCATGCTATTATTAGTCTGCAGTAACAAAAAGCATTGATTATATTCACTATTTTCAGTATATTTGAAATGCTCCCTTTTGTAAGGAAAAAAAAAGGTAGTTAATGTTTTAATATAGTTACAGTGCATTCTTAGTACAGATTATACAGTATTATAAAATTACTGATTTATCACACTGCTATTAATAAATGCTAAAATATATGCTCTGACAGTATATGCTTCAACAGTGACCTCTGTATAAGCTTGCTGTCTTTATATGCTAACCTTTCACTCACTTCAAAATTTTAACTTGTTCAAAATTAATAGAAATTTCTCCACTAAATCTCAGTGCTTGTATTGCTCAAATCCATTTAAGATGAATAAGGACTTGGAGGGGAGGGAATACAATTATTTTGTTAATATTTTCTTTAAAGTATTTTGGAGATGGGAAAACTGCCACAATGACATTGCTAATGGAAACAAATATGAGCGGATACTGCATTCATTGTGCTGATGCAATGGAATAGACTGAGAAAGTAGGAGACTTTTCCATTTACATAAGAATATAAAATGGCAGTTGCAGAGGTATTTTTTTAACCAGCAAGGAAAACAAAATAACCAGTTATCTTACTGAGCTATGCTCCAAAATATTTACATGAAAATTACTTGTTCCACTGAATTTTTCTTGTAGATTTTTTCTTTAAGCTACAGTTTCAGTTTTTAACTGACTTTGTCTCTTCAGCTATGCTCTAAAGGTGTTGGAGTGTTATTAATTTTTAAAATAAAAACTGTATTTTCGTTATAGCTGTCAGTAGTTAAGCACAGAAATGTGGTTTTATAATGTCTTCGGCATGTAAATAATTTTTTTTTTGAAAAGAGTACATTAAACGTAGCACTGAACCCTAGAAAATAACCATCTGTTCCCACAAGCTGGACTATAAATAGAACAAGCAAAGGAAGACAAGGATGAGAGTGGGTGTAAATGGTCTGCCGTTTCTGGAGCATGTTCAACTAGGATGTTTTCCTGAATACTGTAAAGTATGGAGTTCAACTCCATAGCTAGATATGCCATAAAATTTCTGTCTAGAGCAAATTCTATTTATCTTACTTTTTTCTTCTCTGTGCGTTTTTTTTGCCCACCCAAAAAACTAGCTTCAGTACTGCAATCCAAAAGGGTGCGATTTTGAGGGTTTGATTGGGTTCTTTAGTTGTTTTGTTTGGTTTTTTAGGTTATTGATCAAAAATGAGTTGTAGTAACAATTTTCCCCTCATTCTCAGCTCAGAATGCTGTGTATGGTAGGGCATGAGAGCGCTTTCAGACAACATGGTTAACTTTTTAATACAGAAGATCAGAGCAAAATGTAGAGTTGTTATATTCAAGATGAAACCAACTTGCCTACCGGGACTAAGAAAAATGAGGTTTAGAAACCCCCTATCACTGGCATGTAGCTGAAGCAGGTTTGTTCCACGTTACAAGCACCATTCCCGCCGGAGGTCCTTACTGCTGCAACATCACTGGTTTCCTGTTGCACGTCAGCGTCCGGAGGCTGATTGGCCTGATTGCCTTCTGCGTGAATGCTGTGGCAGGAGCAGCGTATGTTCGTGTTACACACAGCTACTCCACTCCTCCTTGCTTTTCCGGCAGTCCTCCTGCAGCCCAGACCCTTCTGTATCATGTCTTACTCCCCTGCTTGGGTCCTTTCTGATCACATTTTAAGTATCTTAAATCCTGGGTGGAAGGTCTGAAGGGAAGTGTTGACAGAGCTCATGCGGAGGGAGAGCCGTTACTCCCTGCATAATAGGAAGTCAGTTGGATTGCAAAGAAGGGAGCCCGGGACAGGCCAAGGGCTTGGTACAGGGGCTTGCAAAAGGAGTGTGATTGCCCTTGTCAGCCTTTGCAGTAGCTGTAAAGCATTTCTGAGTAGTGATCTAAGAACAGTCTCTGACTTTTTGAAATGCCTAAATATTGGCAGCCCAGATCATAAATGCAGCAGTTTTCCTCTATTAACTGCTGCATAGTTTCTAGTTGATAGAAACTCCTTTGGAGGCTTAAGCTTTTTTTTTTTTTTTTTTTTTTTTTTAAACTAGGAAGCTCAGCTGGGTAATTAATGCTGGTCACTAGAAGATAGTTCTTCATAGATGTTGCTTTTTTAGGTCCCACACTGGCTGAACAGCGGTTAGTGGAGTAACCTTTGGTGTCTCTGGAACGCATGTGCTCCTATGTCCTGTTTTAATTACTGCCATTCTGAAGGAACAGAGTCTTCTTCCAGGAGCCTGAAATTCCTTACGGTTTAAACCAGTTGCAAATAAATCCAGAGTAAACAATTTCTATAATTAAAATGAGAAAATTGCAGCTTTTATTGGAGAAGGTTAATAGAAATTAAGGAAAAACAATGTATACCGTGTCTGTGTAGACAAGCCACATAGATTGCTTTCTGTCTTACATCTGACAGGGCTGGAGTAGTGATACTCATAGCTAAGTGGTTTTTGGGGGTTTGTTTGGTTTTTTTAACCAACCCTGTGTCTCGAGGTTGTATTCATGAAAGGAGATGTAGATTCAGAAACTCTTGCTTCCTTCCTTCAGTATTCCAAATGAATCTTTGGTAGTTGGTCAGATTAAAGTCTTTATTCATCTGAGGGTTTCATTGGAAGGAGACAGGAAGGAGTTTTAACATAGCTTTTGATAGACTGTCAGCTGCCTAATCCTGTTTTGGAAATGCTGATACTGGTTAGTATGACCAGGTATGATTATTACTTGCTTCTAAAGTAAACAGAAGGAGCTAATGATTGCTTTGGTGGTTGGCTGAACTCTAAACAAGATGTTAATCAGCTGTGACACAGAAATTCTGCTCTTCCCTGTGGAACTGTACGACATTCGCATCCCAGAATCAGTTTGTCTTCATTTTTCATTTACTTTATACAGAAAAAATTGGAATAGATGCATGCAGCATGTTGACTCTTGAGAGCTGAACTCAGCAAGGCACACAGAGACTCCACCCCGCCCCCCCCTCCCCCAGGTCTTTTTTCCTCCAGTTATCATCAGAGGTTTCTGAAAATTCTGTGCCCAGCACAACTCAATTCTCCATGAACATTTCTCCTCTTTAGCATAGCTTGGGGCTCTCCTGGATAGATGAGTGTCTTGGTGCAAGTGCTGTACTGTCATTTGTCCCTTCCTGACAGTCATGTTCTGCCTTTGCTTTTTTCTGATTCCTCATGAAGATAAAATTTATTTCCTTCTTAAAGAAGGATTAAATATTTTTTATCCAGTAAGAGGTCCCTCTACACCAATTCTGTGTAGGATAGGGATGGTCAAGATAGTCACGCTTACTTTTTAAGGACTGATGGGGACGAGGCAGGGGGGAAGCTGGTTTGTACTCTGGCTACTTCCAAAAAGCAGAATTCCCCTGGAAATTAAATGTGTTTATGCTGGAAAGGTTTGGGTAAACTATTGACTGATAGACCTGCTTGGCAGAATCGGAATGTATGTCACCAGGCTCTCTTTCCCCCCTGCCCCCTCACATGCAAACACTGTCCCCATGATCCCTGTATTTTTTGGTGCTGTCACCAGCTTATCCCATCGAACCGGAATGTTCACCTACCTTGCCATGTACCCTGTGCTTTTTCACTTTGTACCCTGCCATCTGTCTCTTCTGTAATACTGTGTTACTGGAGTTACCGTTTCTTATTCTGTCTGCAGCACTGAGTCCCTTAAAAGTGGAAAACCCTGCTTTTCTCCTAGGGTTTTGTAAAGGTATTAAGTGATTTATGTCTCGGTTGTATTGGTCAGGGGAATGCTTTGGTAACTTGCTAGAAGGAATCTATGTACAACAGTAAGTACTCATGCAAGTGCTAGCATAGACTGGGACTTGTCAAGCTTTTTCTTTTGTAAATCTTCAGCTTGTTTATTAAAAATTGTAAAAGGTCTGCCTAACGTGATTACTAAAAACTGTCTTTTTTCTTTTCTCTCGCAACCCAAGAATTTGTCCCTTTGTACAGCAGCTCTAATGTACATCCTGAGCAGAGATCGTTTGAACATGGATTTAGACAGAGCTAGTCTAGATCTGATGATACGGCTTTTGGAATTGGAACAAGATGCTTCTTCTGCCAAGCTGCTGAATGAAAAAGACATGAATAAAATAAAGGAAAAAATTCGGAGGCTGTGTGAAACTGTTCACAACAAACATCTTGATCTCGAAAACATCACGGTGGGTATCATGCTTTTATTTGAAAGCCTTGGCAGTAGTGGAATGCTTAATAGAATGGAACTTGTAAGCATCCTTAATCTCCTATCTCCCAGCTAAGGAGTCATGACACTTTGTCTGCCTTCTATGTATATGTGACTGCACTTCAAGCATTTTGTTCTATAAATCTGAAATTTCCTTTTGGAAAGGCTGTTAGTAGGATAAAGTTATGATTTTTTTTTTTTTTTTATGATGTCTGATTCACCATTCACTCCTGCTAAGGGTAGCTAGTCAAAGGTAGCAATTAAAAACAAGTAATGCTTTAAATAACCGTGTGTTTAAAGACCATGTTTAGATTATTTGACTCTGTTTCTTTGCCCAAATTTTATATATACATTCACAAACAATACGGATTCTTAGGTGGGAATAAGAGTATTGTGTGTTAAATTGAAAATGTGGTGCAGGTTCTCCCATTAAAAAAAAATTACAAATCGGTCCTACAGAAACTGGTTTGTCTCTGCCCAAAGTGTGGTGGCAGATCTGTTGATTACCATAAATGTGGATGAATTTTTTTGCTTCCTTTCTCAAACGTACTTGTTTCTTATGAATGTGTCTTCAGCTGCAACAGAGTGAACTGGGTTTGTTTAAAAATAAATTTGGCCATGGTTTGATGCTAGCATCAAGCTAGCTTGAAAAATAAAGGGTAAGTTGCAAGTCTTTTAAAAAGAGTGTATTTAAAGAATTGATGACAGACTGACTAGGTGAGTGCTTATAGATGGCAAAAATTAGTAATGTGTTTTTACTTTCACCGTATTTCAGTATAACAGATGTTAGTATGAGCTTAATTTTTTAACATCTTATAATACATTCTTTTAATGTTTTAAAGATTCTTACTAGGTTTTTGCCATTTTTCATGTAATACTTATACCTGACAGGAGAAGCTTCTGAGTTATTGTTTATGAAGTGAGCTTTTTAGAGCTTTATCTCTGCAAGTAACTTTCAGCTCCTGCCAGTAATCTGCAGTTAAGATCGTATTCCATCTTAGAGGTTAGATTAAAAGATGATATGCCTTGTTGAGCTGGCATTTTCTTTTGTAGTTTTTGTGACTTTTTTTGTTGGTTTAGGAAGGGCTTGGTTTGTTTTTTTTTTTTCCCCAAAATTCTAGCTATGGAACAGATAGCTGAAGTGGTATGAAAAGTCAGTATTATGTAGCAGTAGAAAGAGCTGAATTTTGGGGGAGGAAGGTAATATTGATGACATAATTCTTAACCTTGGTAATCCATTTGTAGCGACAGAGGAGAATTGTTTCAGAGTTTCAGCTTCAAGCTTGTTTCCTACAAACCTATGAAACTTGCAGGTAGGGGGCTTGTATTAATTTTCTGGCCTTCAAAATCTGCAAAGGAAGAATGAATTTGAGATTATTTTCTCCACTTTCAGCTTACTCTCTGAGTTCACATGATACAATCTGAAGATACCAACACAGAATGAAATTTCTTCTCTAGGTGGTGATCAGCTAGGAATTGGTATAATCAGTGTCTTATTTCAGCACTGTTTTGGCACCGAAGGCAGCTCACGTAGCTCACAGTCTGTTAGTGCCAGGATATCTCTTGCACTATAAAATGTAAGACAGCTCCTTTTATTAAGTATGGAACAGCTGGTACAGGTTCCTCATTGCTAAAGCATCCAGCCACACAGACCACTGTCTCCTCTTTGAGCTTTTCTCATATTAATAATCTGAGCTAGCTTGATTTTTTTTTTATGAAGTGTAATTCTGTTCTTGTGTTTTCTTAGGCATGAGTTTTAAAGGGACTCTGGCTTGTGAGGAAGCTGTCTATGAGTAAAGAGTAATATTATCACAGGCCATTGGTTTCAGCTGCTGCTTTTTCCTGAGGCATCTCTATTTCTTAAAATCATGTCGAGCTGTTGTTGTAAATGTGTAGAATACTGTAGTACCTCACAGATGGAAACTGGTTCCCTCCCAGCTGCACCATCTAGAAGTGCACTTCCATATAGCGTTTAGAGAATATACGCAAGCCGAATGAGACGATTAGGTTCTCTTCCAATTTATGATAGTAGCCATAGTAAGTTGAGACAATAGTGAACTTCACATGTAGAAGATCGTTGCTTTCAGATAGATCTCTGTCATGAGATATAATGAGTAATCTCTGCTTTGTACCAGATGACAGGCAGAAAATGCTAACAAAAGTGTAAATCTTCTGAGGGTAAAGGAAAGATCTGTGCTTTTCAGACTCAGACATACCCACTGAGAAACAGAAGGATTGCAGCAGATGTTTTGATAACTCCAGTTTGTGCTTAACCGATTACACCTTCGTTTTTTTGAATGTTACACAGAGCAAATGAAGATGATCAATACTGCCTGTCTCTGCGCAGACAATGTCATTTGTGTGACTGCCTAGAAATTAGACTGGACTAATTTTTTAAGTACTCAAACAGGTTTTCAAAGGGTTCTATTTTCTAGGCAGCTATGAATGTTAAAAGTGTAAACTCAGAAATTTAAAAGGAGTTCTCTGTGGGCTGAATTTGTTCCGGTTTCTTTGCTAGTTTAGAATAAGATAAAGCCTGAAGAACTTAGCCTTCATGTTAGCAAGTGGCACTTGCCTGTCAGTCAGCATAGCCCTCTGGAGCTGATGCTTGCAGCTAGCTCCTCTCTGTCGCATCATAACGAAAACCTTCAGAAGTGACTTCTCTTTCCATCTGGTGAAAGAGGTTATTCTGTTTTTCTCTCTCCACATAAGGCTGAAAGCTTAAGGGAACCATGTTTTGAACCTTTGGTGTTAAAATTTCATAGTAATTGACATAAAAATTGAATGGATTACTTTCCTCAAAAACAAAAGGGTTACAAGGTTTGATTCATTTTATTAATTAAAAAAACCAAAACAAAACAGCCCTGAAAATTGTGTTCGTATGCCCAGTAGTATAAATACCAAATTATATTCTCCTGGAGTTTTTTTGAAGTCTTATTGCCCTTTGGTGGAAAACTAAGCACAGTGTTTTAAATATTCTATGGCCTTTGAGCTTTCATGGTGAAGGTATTTAGGAAGTTAACTGAATCTTTCGTAGCACTTAAGATCCCTAAGGAGAGTTTTTAATCAGCTTCTGTCAGTCTGGTTTAGGTTATGCGTGCTTTCAGATATCCATGTTACAATCTTTTCAAGCTCAATCTGTGAAAGTGAAGGGGATCATCTGAAGAGGATGGGAAAGCTTCAGAGAGCTAGGGATCTGTCAAACTGCTCTCTACAGGTTCTCTCCCCTCCTCCCTCAAAACACTTTCTCGTTTGGTTGCCTTCAGAAGGGAAGTTCTCTACCCATTGCTTAAAATATCCTCATCTCCTTTAGCATTATGTTTTTAACTTACAGTTTTTAAAAGTGTGAGGTTTTGGATCTTGTGTTTCCCAGTGATGAGATGAGAACACCCTGTAACCAAGCGTGTTTTGTTTCCCTCCTGTGGGAAGGCTCCACGAGTGGCTGTTGCAATTAAGGGTAGTTAGCAGTTTCCCCGGTGGTGAAACAGTTGCAGGAGTAATTGCAGCTTTGTCTTTGTTTCCTCTGTGATGGGAATTGAGATGCTGCTGTGACTCAAGGACGTCCCCCACAACACTGTTATGACCCAAGGACACCTCTATTTATGTTGGAGAAATGCCATTACTATCTATCTGCTCATCAGTGACTGCGTGCTGCAGAGCTTGCTCCTAAAATAAGGAGATAATTCACTTTGGGTGGTAACTCTTCTTTATCAAGATTTATCTTCAACTTTCTTTTCCTCCTTGGAAATCAGTATTTTAAAAACAAGGAAAGCAGCTGAAGCTGTTGCGGGGGGGCTCATACAATTTATCACTTGGTTTTCCAAGCCTGGTGTTTACTCAAGCCTGGTGAGTGCTGTTGTTCCCAGGAGGTGCTGAGGTTTGAACTGGTTATCCTGGAACATGCTGCACAGCTCAGAATAAGCACAACCCTCCTTGAAGCATGACAAAACAAATGTGTCGGGCAGGGAAGTGAACTTGAGAGTGGTTAAATTCAGCTTTAATGAGCTCTTACGGCTTTTTCTCTGACCGTTCATTTTTGTACCATATATGAAATTATTAAGCTTCTAGTAGTGTAGATTTGCCTGTGTGTTTTCCAGTTGTTACAGAAGTCTATACTGGTCACTTCTGTGTAGGCATAAATTTATGCGTTTGTGTATGTCTATTACTAATGTTTGCCTTTAATAAAAGGCCTTTGGAAAAATGAGTTATAGTCTTGACTTTATAAATAGTGTTAGTTTTGGTTAAAAACGTTGCAGGGGATTAACTAGGATAATCACCTAAAACCTCTTCAGCTTCCATTTGCAGGGAGTAAACTTACCTCTGCTGTTGTTGAATTTTGATATGTATTCCTCTCTTTCAAAAAAAAAACCAAACCAGTAAATATACTTTTTACAGTGTTTTAGTTTAATTGCTTTCTTCTGTGAGTTTAAGATTAGAACCACACAATACCTATGTTAGAATCAAATGTATTCCACAGGCAGCAGAGCCAGTGTATCTAGGAGACAGACACAGTGAGACAGATACTAGAGAAGCAGTGTTCACTGTGGCTGTTCTTGGTTTTTTTCCTGCCTGGCTGATTTGTCCATTTCCTTCCTCCATTTGTTTCTTTTGATAACAAAAGAAACAGATGAAAGGAGGCTGCTTGTGTTTTCTAAGCTGTTAATAAAATCAAGAAAAAGTTGAAAATGCAAACTACCTTTTTATCAGTACCAAGTTGTGTTTTCAAGATACGTGTATTTTTAAACCTGTTCTTGCTCCCTCTGGTGGTTCTTCCACTCAGAACCGATAACTTTGTTTTTATGGTCTTTATATGACGTGTATTTGTATGGTTTGATATATTGGCTACAGCTGCATATGATGATTTCACTAATTCTGGAACCTAACTCTTTCAGACCGGGCATTTGGCAATGGAGACGTTGCTGTCTCTCACCTCAAAACGAGCTGGGGACTGGTTTAAAGAGGAGCTGCGACTTCTAGGTGGTCTCGATCATATTGTAGATAAAGGTATATTGGAAATGCTGCTTTGACAGTGTGAAAAAATAGTGAATCTTACAAAGATGTTTGCCTTTTCTTAATGTTCATTTTCTGTGGTTAAAAATAGAAATGTATTTTTCTCAGCAGTGTTAAAAATAAAGTACACAATTTGATATCAAGTCACTGGAAATCAGTGGCTTTAAGCTGTTGCATGTGGGATTGAAAGTAGTTTTAAGGTTAAACAAAATGTGTATAATGTTGCATATAATGTGCGAGATTAAAATGGCTTAAGCTTAGACGGAATAGATGACTGTGTTACGTATCTCTGTACAGCGCACAAATACAGCACACTTATTCTAGAGTAAAATCTCCTTTACAGTCTTCTAGAATTATTTGCAGACCTGATATTTTTTTAACTAAATATCCCAGAGGAAGTCAGCCCTTCAAGAAGAAATGGTAGGGGTTTTGTTTCCTTATTTTTTCAAAGATATGTCTTGGTTAATTTTTTTTGGATCAGCATCTCACAGATAGGAAAAGGGATGTTTCTAAAATGAATTCTTGAGCTGAATAAAGCTTGGTCTTAAGTAAGCAGAGGGGTGGACAAAGGAAGGATTGAAGAGATGAAAGCGTTCAACTTGCACACGGTTTCAGACTTGTAAAGTGTGGGGCAGTGTGCCTGCTGTATCTTTCTTCTCTTCTACAGAACAGTGCATTACAGTTAAGGAACCTAGTCGTGTGCTGTACAATCTCTTCATTGTCAGTAGAAAAAAAATACACAGAGGTAATTTGTGGCAGCAATTACAAACTTGTAAAGCTGAAATTTTAAGGGTTGGGTTTTTTATTATTTACTTGGAGAAATGAAAAACTTTGGAATGCTGGTCATGTCTTCGTGATTGTTTCCTAGTATTAGAGTTTTGTAAAGTGTAAAACAGGTTGATAGTAACTCTGAGTAGCTAGTTAGTTTGTATGCTTGGCTTTGGAAGACTTCTTACTGATAATGGAAAACAACTCCTTTTTGTTGTTTAGTTAAAGAATGTGTGGATCACCTAAGCAGTGATGAAGACGAAGAGAAATTGGTTGCTTCGTTATGGGGTGCAGAAAGATGTTTACGGGTCTTAGAAAGTGTGAGTATGAGCAGATGCATTGCGTTTCTGAAAAGGGCTTTTTCTCAGCCAGACCT